CAGTTTAAACCGTTAAACTCAAATAATAATTGTTAATAGTGATAAGTATGTACATAGAATTTCAAAGTATTGAAACGTTAAGAATCACGTGTCAAATACACTGTTTCTATTTGATGTTTTAATATTTAATTCTAAAACAAAGTAAGTTATGTCCAAACTTTAAAATCGAGTTGCGAACATCGAAGTGTTACTTACAGTGGTTACGCATCACATGTAAAACAAATAATGGCTGTTTCTTTAAATCCAGCAAAGACCATATATATGACTATATCTTGGACAGCTTTTAAAACTCAGCATCCTCCCTTACTTCTGTAAAACCAAGTCATTTCTGAATCTTCTTCTCACAAACATTTAGGAGTAGTTCTATCAAACGATTGTTCATGGTCAACTCATCTGGAGTATATATTTAAAACATAGTTTGGACAAGGATCAATATTCTCCGAAGTCTAAAATCTACATTGGACAGAAATACATTAGAAACATTATATTTGACATCTATACGCTCATTATGGAGATATGCATTTTGATAATTGTTCAGCTAGCGAAAAGCATGAAATAGATATGATTCAAAACGAGCCTTCAAGAATAGTCACAGGTGCTACTTAACTTTGTTCTCTTGAAAAAACCTTATGACGACCTCGGATGGGAATCATTACCATCTCGGCGTAGTTATCATACACTGGTCTTTAGTTACAAGAAACGAAATAATCTATGCCCTACTAACTTAAACGCTCTAATCCCAACGCGTCAAAACGAAAGATACGCCTTCAGAAAGACCTCAGATATTCCTCCTATCTGTTGTCGAACATTCAAAACTCTCTGATCTCGTCTGGTATCCGTTCTTGGAACACACTCCCTCAGAAAATCAAATCATCAGATTCTACAACAATTCAAGCGACTTCTTTCTAACCGACACAAACTCCCAAATTTCTATAACACATAAAAATATAACGGTCATATTTTGTACATATAATAAACATGAACTGTTTTATAGATGATTGAATAAATATTCTTTGAAATACGATATTTTTTATTGCAAAGCCGTGTTAGTTACTTTATGCCTATGTTTTATACATACACAGCTTCTTTTTAAACAAAAGTTATACTTAATAGTAATCGAATGATTTACCGACTGGTGTCAGCGAATGGGGCGACAACAAGCGTCAATCATAGGAAATTCTCGACATGATAACAAAGGAAATTTATCGAGACGGTACCTCGAGAATTTCTATGATTGATCATTGTGTTTATAAAACTCATGTTGTTTTTCATCTTTTTAAAGAAATACATTTTAATTCATTTCTGTGCCATAATGTGCCTTAAAAGTATAATAAGATTTGAGTTTCAAAGTAAAATAGTTAGGAAAGCGATTGTTCCAAACGTGGACACTACGTAAAATGAAATTTGTTCATTACCGTCAGCGAGCTTAAAATATATATATATCGCTTTTTTAAATAATTAATTCGGTGGCTGTTAATCAATGTGATGATATAATCATATTATGTCGTTAATACGTGTCATGTTTTATTTGTTTTAGACTTTGTTTTTTTTTCTTTACTGACTATGATGAAGTTTACAGGTAACACGCATTGGGTGCCAATTAATGTCTGTTGCAAACTTAAATTATAATGATCTTGTGAGATGATGCATATTGCAAGATGACTAGAACTGAACATATATTTTATTTTGAATTCATCATATGCAGCTTATCTTCAAATACAACAAAATATACAGGCATGACTATGAAAAGAGGTAATGCATATCAATAGATAAATTAAGTGAGAATGTAATACTTCACATGTAAGATATACAATCCTTAAACATTACCTGACATTCAATGAAACAAATCTTAATTTAAATGCTGTATCACAATATATAGCTAATTTTGTTATAACTGACTTCCTTTTTTAATTTTGCAATTCTGAAACATTAAACATGCTCGGATTTCTTGCAAAATACTTGAATATATACCGTTTTGTAAGTTAATCATACAAAAGCAAACGCATGCAAAGTGATATTCATCTTCGATTTTATTAATGTTGAAAATATAACATTTTCGGTAACTTCTATCAATATTGTTATGTCTACCTGTTTTTTATGAATAGATCGTGATATTAGTTAAGCATTTTTGTAATTTCATAGTATCAACAATGTTCAGGTATTTAGACCTTCTAAAATGAATATATTTATGAATATGTCTATATAAAAACAAAGAAGATCAAATATGTATATTAGAATGTCAATGTGTGTTATAAATATCTTTTAAACGACCATGTAGCGCCGCCAATATAACTGATTCTGGATACATCGCCAAATCATTTAATTCCGTACTTTGCAAGAGTGTTTTGACTTTATACAATAAATATGCAGCATCAGATTTTGACTCTGTCTCCAAACTCTGACAATTTACAATATAATTTGATATATAATGGCTTGTTTTAACTTGATATAATGTTATAAAATACTTAACAATTCTTACATGTCGTTAAATGTACATTGTTTGTTTGTTTGTTTGTTTGTTTGTTTGTTTTGGGGTTTACGTCACATCCACACAGTATAGGTCATATCGCGACGTTCCAGCTTTACTGGTGGAGGAAATGCATATTGGGAACAGGCCCACTTCTGTAAACAATGAAAGAGTATTTGTTGACTTTTTCATATTGAGCAACCTTTTACAGAACTTCCTTTGAATTTTATGTCACGTTACCCTATACCTCACAACTATGATTTAGAACTGGTAAAACGTATGCATCAAACTGGTTGAACATATCATCAATGTAAACTTGCTTGTCTCTTATTCCATCTAATAACGAGGTCATAGCCCGTAGTGCTTTACCTTTTAGTGTGTTTGTCATTAATATGAAGAAACTACAGCTAGACAAAAGACTACCTGAGTAAGTGAACGCTTTTAAAATTTCTATATTTGATCCACAATATGTCCATTACAATGTAATAACTTTTATTCAACCTTTTCTAAACACAACAATCTTATCTTCATTTACAAGAAGATGCCATTTGTGACAATTTTTTTCTAAACTCTTAGGATAACCATCATTTAAAATTTCTTGCAATACTTTTTTAATTCGTTAAAAAAGAGCACGAACATAATAGGTAAAGTTATCTCCTATTGAAAGATACCAATTTCGCTACTGAAAAAACCTAACAACATGTTGACATTTTTCAGACACATCTTCATACATAGATTTCAGACACAATTTAACATTTCATACATAGAATATATTACAGAAAACAATTAATCATCACTACCACATTTTATCTATTCATACCAAAGACAGTTCCTGTCAATTAGATCGTATGCTTTTTTAAAGTCAATAAAGCAGCAAAATAGTTTCTTCTTATCAGTTATCAACTTTTCAATAAAAGAATGCAATATAAAAATGGAATCCAAAGTATTATAAATTGTTTTAAACCAAAACTGGGCGTAATTTTGTCATTTTCCACGAACCATTTACTCAGCCTTTTATTTATAAACACAGTGAAAAACTTATTATCGTTATAACCCTATAATTATTTGGATATTCTGAATCACACTTTTTATGTGAAGAAATAATAATACCAGGTGAGCATCATTTAGGGAAAAACTAATATCAAGTACTTAATTAAACAGCATTTATGAAGGAGTCACAATATAATTTATTCCTGCTATAAAGTATTCATATAAAATCAGCAGAGCAACCTTTATATGTACCTAAAGTTTAAGATGCTGGAACAATCTCTTCCACAGATATGGATTTATCAAGTTTTTTTAATGTAAAATTGTTGCATTCTGATTTTTAGAAAGTTTTTAAAAATGCATCACATTAATTTCTGGTGTTCGTAAAAAGAGATGCAGATGCAGGCTGTACATATTGCGCAAGAATTGTCTTTCAGTGTAATGCGGATTATAAAGAATACTTAAGTATTTTTGACATAAATGAGTTTTTGTTGCAATTCTCTGTATTTTATCCCTGGAATCACCCTTTTTATCATCATTTTTATTTTTTATTGTATTATGATTTGCGGCATATAGCCGAAACGTTTGCAATAAATGAACAATTACTAAATGTTCGTGTTTTTGTGGCTTGATTGTTAATACCCATAATACAGATACTCAACATTTCATACCTATACTCTATATTTTATTTCATACCATACTCTAAATTTTTATTTCATTACCATTCTCGGTAGTTTATACAAATTCACTGTTTTAATACTAATACTCTCTCTATTTCATACCTATACTTTGCATTTCATTTCCATACTTTGTATTTCAATAACATGTCTTTATTTCATACTCATATACTGTATTACATAACAATACAGTATTTCATACCAAAAATCTTTATTCTGTTTATCATCCCATATCCTATATTTCATAACTATACTCTTTATCTTATGCACATACCCCGTATATGTCATTCACCTCTCGTCTCTGTTTAATCTGCACATCCCATTGTTCAATCATTTAAGGTCCTAATGTCTTCCACTACCAAGCATAGAACTTAAGCATAGAAAAAGTGACATCGAGATTAAATTCTCCGAAGAAAAAAAGAGAATAAAGAAAGAAAACTCAGTCATATGTATACTAATCAATTTATTTTCCTTGGACATGTGAACTCACTAAGTTGATACTAACCTTAGATCATGCAAACCTAAACGCTTGCGCATGATAAATACGAACATGTGAACCTTATAAATTTTTATATTTTCATGTTATACACATTATTTTTCGTAACAGTATTCCAACTGTACTATTATTTTGCTATTAATAAAAGTTATCAATAGTTAATCAACTGAAAATGAGTCATATTTGTTAAAACATGGACAAATAAATACAAAAAAAATTTTTCCTACAAAAGAGATACATTTAGATACAAAAGAAAAAGCTAAAGTAAAATATCTAATTGAAATAAAATTTCGATTTGGAACATAGAAACTAAATCTATGTTTAACTCTGTAAAAGTACATCGAATGCTAACAATAATGAATGTGCATGACAATGCAATCGACAAACACACAAGTTGATTCAATGGTACATGTAACTAAACAGGTACACAGTCTCTATAATAAAGTGTGGCAGTGTCACTGCTAGATATCTTGCCTGGGTCAGCATCGAGTATGTTTAAATAAGATACCGTCCCTCTACTACATGCAGAGCCACTTTTAACCGCCTCAAAAATTAGACATTTAGGATCATTCCTGCATAAATTTTCGCATTCAATCGGACCACTAACATCTTGGAAAAAACTTATCTCATTGAATTCATACACGAACTTATTCGGAATCGATATAAATGTATCTGTGAAAGCGGTGCATTCTGGAATGTGAAGGAAAAACATATGATTAGATCAACAATAATAACTTATCATTTTGTTCAAGTCAAGTAGGTGAAGCCACGTCACTTTTGGAGGCGAAAGAATAGCAACGATTCTATCAAAGTCAATATCATTTTTTTAATACTGAATAAATTGTCTTCAAACAAATTCATCATTAAACATCTAGATCTTCCTAGAAGAGCACCGAAGTCGACTGTGATACTTCACAAACATGAAAGCTACACATGTACCTTAATCCGTAATATTTTATCATTTCCTACGTTCATTTTGCCTTACAGACAATTGTGTAAAGTGGTCAAATAACAAGGGAAAAATATCATCGTTTCACACACTAGAGAGCTTTCCCTAATTTATAATTTGTAGGGTGTACACTTGGCAAGACCAACACACTCTTTAACCGGGGAAAAATGCTGTATTAGGCACATATTTCTATGAGATGAATCAGAATTTCACTCATTGCTATACATGAAATTGTATAACGGTATTACGCAATGTACAATATTTCATAAGGGAAGATTTTGTTGTTTCCTTATAAAAATTTTCAAGTTTCGTAATTTTTTCCAATAATATATGCATAAATCTTGCCTTTTATAGCATAATACATTTTAAATAAACAAATATGAAATACATTGCATATAAGTTGATGAAAAAAAAAAAGAATTTGCTATCTGGTTTACTTATATCTAAAACCCAAGCATGTTCATGGATTATATTATTTTCTTAGGAAATATGATCACGCCCCAAGTACTGTTCCAGTCTGAGGTCCATGTGTTGAAAGGCAGCCAAATTAAAAACTAGAACAACGATTCTCTTAATCTCCGTTTAAATGAATTAAAAGGCGTAGTCTACAAGAAGGCAAGCCAGCCTACACGTCCGTGCAGTGGATCACATTGCTTTATACTATGGCTGGTTAAGTTAAGTATTTTGGCATTGTAAACCTTTGCAATTCAAATGGACAGTTCTTCGTTTAAAATAGGGTTATAAATTTATTTAAAATACAGAGGGTCTAGGGTAAAAGCACCCTGCCGATTAATGAAATATTTACCTTGGACGCAATCGTTTATGGTCTGACTGTAGCGGTATAACGGACTACAAAAGCATAAACCATTGACGCAAACACCGTTTGTTAGAGAACAGTCTGCATCATTGCTGCATGCGTCCCCAATGCCCACCCCTTGATTGTTATTCTCTTGATTCTCCAAAACTTGATCTGTAAAAACAAGCAAGAATAAAATTGCTTTTATTTTTATATGTAAAATAATTGCATGTAGATTCTTGTAAGAGATGTGATGTAGCACTTAACATATTGATCTTATAAAGACCTGAAAGCCATTTTTGGTATTGCTATTTTTAGCTCACCTGTCACAAAGTGACAGGGTGAGCTTTTGTGATCGCTTTTCGTCCGGCGTCCGTCCGTCGTTCGTCCGTCCGTAAACTTTTGCTTCAAATGACATCTCCTCATAAACCACTAAGCCAATTCATCCAAACTTCACAGGAATGTTCCTTTGGTGGTCACCTTTAAAAATTGTTCAAAGAATTAAATTCAATGCAGAACTCTGGTTGCCATGGCAACCGTAAGAAAAAACTTTAAATATCCTTTTTTAAAGAACCCAAAGAGCTAGAGCTTAGATATTTGGCATGAAACATCTTCTAATGAGTGTCTACCAAGTTTGTTCAAATAAAAGCCCTGGGGGTCAAAATTGGCCCTGCCCCAGGGGGTCATTGATTTTCCCTAAATGCATATAGTAAAAACTTAAAAATCTTCTTTTAAAGAACCCAAAGAGCTAGAGCTAAGATATTTAGCATGAAACATCTTCTAGTAATTGTCTACCAAAATTGTTCAAATAAAAGCCTTGGGTTCGAAATTGGCCCCGCACCAGGGGGTCATTGGTTTTCCCTATATGCATGTAGTAAAAACTTATAAAAAATCTTCTTTTAAAGAACTCAAAGAGCTAGAGAAAAAATTGTTCAAAGAATTAAATTCAATGCAGAACTCTGGTTGCCATGGCAACCGTAAGAAAAAACTTTAAATATCCTTTTTTAAAGAACCCAAAGAGCTAGAGCTTAGATATTTAGCATGAAACATGTTCTAATGGGTGTCTTCTAAGTTTGTTCAAATAAAAGCCCTGGGGTCAAAATTGGCCCTGCCCCGGGGGTCATTAATTTTCCTTATATGTGTATAGCAAAAACTTTTTTGAAAAAAATCCCAAATAGCTAGAGTTTAGATATTAAGCGTGAAACATCTTCTAGTGAGTGTCTACAAAGTTTGTTAAAATTAAAGCCCTGGGGTCAAAATTGGCCTCGTCCGGGGGTCATTGATTTCCTTATATGTGTATAGCAAAAATTCAAAAAATCTTCTTTGAAACAAAAACCCAAATAGCTAGAGTTAAATATTAAGCATGAAACATCTTCTAATAAGTGTCTACAAAGTTTGTTCAAATAAAAGCCAGTGGGTCAAAACTGGCCTCGCCCAAGGGATGTCATTGTTTTTAACTATATGTGTATAGTAAAAACTTAAAAGTCTTCTTTTAAAAAAAAACCCAATGAGCTAGAGCTTAGATGTTAAGCATGAAACATCTTATTATGGGTGTCTACCACGTTTGTTCAAATAAAAGCCCTTGGGTTAAAATTAACTCTGCGGGGGGGGGGGGGGGGGGAGAAGGTCTTTGTTTTTCCTTATATTCGAATTTCCAAGTTTGTTCAAATAAAAGCCCTGGGATTTAAACTTTGTTTGTTTGTTTGTCTCATTTTACGCCTTTTTCAACAGTATTTCAGTCATAAAGGCGTGAAGTTTCCTAACCATCGTTCCTGGAGAGTTACACCAGTACTAGACAACCTTTCCTCCGCGCTAAACTACCAAAGCATCTCCCGGGGATCGAACCCACGCAAGAGAGGTACCTGGATTAGAAGTCATTGACTCTAACCCCTCGACCACGGAGGCGGTATGGGATTTAAACTGGCCCCGCTTCGGGGGCCTTTTTATACAGGTGAGCGACCTCAGGGTCATCATGGCCCTCTTGTTTATATTTCTTCCCTTCCCTTCAACTTTCTACTTTTAAGGGTTTTTTTATAATTTCAATCCGCATTTTCGCGTTGTCACTGAATAATGTTTTTTTTAATATATAAAAGAATATGGATACTTTTCAAATGTAAAATATTCTGCCCTTTATTGGTTATCGACTATTTAACATATTTCATGATATTTTTTATAGCGTATTGGATAAACACAAAATGACATAGTCAAACAAAATCAATACAATCATGTACTTAATTACTTACTGCAATGGCGTAGGTTCGATCCCCGGGAGATGCTTTGGTAGTTAAGCGCGGAGGAAGGTAGTCGAGTACTAGTGTAACTCTCCAAGAACGATGGTTAGGAAACTACCAGCCTATATGCCTGAAATACTGTAGGGAAAAGGCGTAAAATGAAACAAACAAACAAACAAACAACACTTACTGCATACGACATTAGCTTGATCAAACCATATACCGTCTGCTGTGCACGTCAAGTTACTTGAGTTTCCGTTGAGTGTATACCCTGGCAGACATTGGTATTGTACAACTGCGCCCTCTGTCGTTATATCACCGCCACTAATCACCTGAGCGTTTGTAATGATTGGAACTGTACCACAATCTTTTAACGAGGAGATAAATACATACATACATACATACATACATACGTACGTACGTACGTACGTACGTACGTACGTACATACATACATACATACAGAGTACTCAGAGTACTTTTTGAGTAGAGCCTTTGACGTTTTTGTTCTGTTTTTTTGTTGTTGTTATTTTTTCAAAACATAAGGTGTTAAGGACAAAATTTGAAGCACACACCAAATAATAGTTTTAGATTGTGACATAAATTGGAGTTGAAATCCGACTTAGCATAACCAATAAAATGTGATATCAAACAAAAACTTTAATACTTTTGCACTGCGTTAAGATAATCAAATAAATTAAAAACTCTATTTTATTTTGAATGCAATAGGTAATATTTTGTAAGAGGAGATAATCATATGAATTTCAGATGATACCTATAATCAACCTCATTTAAATATGTTAATAATGTGACGTCACCTCTGATACAGTTTGGTTGGTATGACCATTGACCGGATGCTTCACAAACAGCATTCATTACGTTCGTCACATCAACGTTCGTCACATCAACGTATCCCTGGTTACACCTGAATTTCACACGTGAACCGATAGAGTGCATGTTACCAAACAGTTGAGCATTGGTTGCCACAATCTTCGAGCATTCTGTAAAAAAAATAGTTCAGCAGTGGTTAACACAATCTTTGGAACAAAAATAATGATATGTTTATGTTAATCATCGCGATTTCGTGTAATTTATAAATAGTTTTACTTTTAGAGTATTTTAAAAGACTAGCGAATTTTCCGTGCAATTCGCAAACCTTGTTCATGTAATTTGTAAACAAGTATAGTAAACTATATGAGGAAAATACTTCATTTCATCAGGGCGTAATTCATTTTTTTCAGGTATTTTCCATTAACAAAGAGTAAACATTTTCCGTTTCTTTTCAAATACATGTATGCTTTGGTAACATTAAATTTCGTCAAAATAATTCAACATAAAGAGATATCAGTATAGAAGACAACATAATACCTATTCCCTTTTTATGAAACATTTGTATATATCATTGAATTAAACAAATAGGGATTTTATTGAAAGCCCTGAGCTTAAAAGATTCAAATAAAACATATTATATGGGTAGCTTTAAGAATATTATGATAAAAAAAAGAAAAGAAAAAAAAACATTAAAAGCACAACAGTATTAACAGCATTAACAGTAGAATACATAAATAACAGAGATCGTTCATCAAGATTTTAAAATATAACTTAACCAGTTACTGCGCATGTCTTTGTTACCGGATCGCAAGTCTCCCCGTCAGGACAGTTACATCCCTGAATCTGTAAAAACAGATGTTTCAAAATGAAAAATAAAATTCAGATATTATGATTATGGACACTTCATGAGTTATATATATAAATGTTATTCAAAGCATTAGCGCAGACATTTTTGCCTTATGTGAAAAACATTTATCGGGAATAAAAGTTATAGATACACATCAGCGGCGTAAATAGGCGTACACCTGAACGCCCGTGCGTACAAATCAATCCTGTATTTCGAAATATCAAATGCGCTAAAAGTTCTAATAAAGTGATAAAAACAGAGAGGGGTAGTGTTGTCGGGGCAACATATATTCATATAGGCCTACAATTTTTTATCATCATATAAAAAATTCATAACATAAACAGTATTAATAAATATCTTTTAAAATGATCTATATTGCGATATCTTACACAGATTCAGTGGAGGAAAGTTACAAAAAGCTTCCGGTGCCTGGTTCAGCACCGATTCTTGGCCAAAATATTCCTCGAGCATAATGTTTTGCGCACCGCAATTGATTGCTGCAGAGAATTACTTGGTCGTGCCGAAAAGGCATTAAAAGAGCGTAAAATTTCATCTCAATTGTATGCATTTATTTAAAAGTAGCGCCAGATTCTTGTAAAAGTTGTTGAGATAATTATTCTTTGTGGTCAGTAAAATTATTGCGATGAGTCCTCAAGCAAGTTCCATTTGCAGTTATATCATTATTAAAGTCGTATATGTGCTAATGAATTTACTTTATAACAAAAGATCTTAAATGAATCGTTTAATGTATTCACGTGAGTTCTGTATTTAACTCCATATAATCTATGTTATACGCAACGATTTTTGAGTGATTCACTGACATTTCTAAAAGGAGATTTTAAAGAACAGTGCTGGGGTATTTACATTCCTTTTTAAAAAAAAATATGATAATAAGTATAGTGTAAGGGTTCTTAAATTCCTTTTTTGAAAATATGATAATAAGTTAAGTGTTAGGGTACTTGATCGAATTCCCTTTTTTACATTTTGCAAAGTCATCTACTTTACCCTTTGTTATTTTAAGACAAACTTTTCAAATTTGAAAATGAAAAACCGGGTCTTACAAGTCTTAATTAATAGCGCACTAATAAAGCTGATATTCATTTTATCTATTTACTCAAAGGGCCTATCTATGAATTGCTATTAATGTCTTAACCAGCATGATATCCCAAAACCTCTGCGACAAAGAGGATACTGAATGAGTGTAAGCTTAATATTGAATGTCTTGAACGAGTTGAATAAAATTATATAAATCGAGCATGATATCATTTTATTCAACGAATTCAATAAATTCAATTCAATAATGAAATTATACGAATTTAATATTCTATTTATAACATACTAAAAATAAAAAAACTATTGACAAATTAAAGTGAAAATAAGTCATTTTTCATTGACGACAAAAGTATAACGCTAACATTTTGTGCGTCTTTACACTATGTTTGTATAACGCAAATGACGTAGGGTTAAAATAAATGCATGGCCGTGCAATACCATTTTACGGAGCCGCAAGATTCTAACGGGTATGTAATGAATCAAAAAAAAAAGAAAGTTTAAAGATACAAAAAAGATAGCAACTTACGACTTCATCTGACATTTCCGCTTTCTTCAAAAATATGCACGCTTGTTTTCTTTTGACGTTGGCTGCTCTGCTACCTTGGTCGGTCCCCAGTAGCTCACACAGGTTAAATGACCGCCTGTAGTTGATTGCTTTACAATGTCGCCTCTTACCACATTCTTCTTGACATTGCACATAAGATAAATCTAATATCCTATGTATCACAGCGTCGTCTTCTAGACAAAAGTCTTTTTCTTTTGCGTTACATAGACACGACTTGGACATAAATAATAAAAGTACTACAGCTCTGACTATTTTAGCATCTAAACTCATATTTGTTTTGTTTCACTGACTTGCGAAATATGAAGAAAATATAGTCTATGATTTAATTTCTTTAGATTAACACTCAAAACGAAACAACGCAAGAGTAGCTTTTAGTTGTATTTGGAAAAGTACGTGCGTTTTATAGGCACGGCACGCTTTAATGTATCGGTAAAGTATAAGGGGGTTCTAAAAAATTTGTTTCATGTGGATTGTATATCTTAAACTCAGACAAGTCTTTGAAAAAAACATTTATTGTGACAGAACATTTTGCAGGATCCTCACCGGACTAACAATTGTAACTAGCAACCGTAAATATTTATTTTCAAATGCTCTACATGATGAAAGTATTTTTTCTTCTGTCAGGACTGAAAGACCAAAGTTTTGAGTATGTTTTTAAATTATTACGCAATATAATGCTGCTTTATTTACTTAACAAACAACTGCTTTATTAAAAGTTTGTCAAGAACAAATTAAAAAAAAAAACAGTGACAGGGTACTAACCAACACCGAATGTGGAGCATTATACATGTGCTGTCTTTACCACAAAAGCTATTTTTGTCTTCATTTTGTCGTCAATAATAAATGAAAGATAAGAATATTAAACAAGGTTTATATACAGTGAATCTTCTAAAAACCGAACACCTGTGTGACTAGCCAAAACGTTCTGAATTTGGAAGTTTCCGCAATTGAGAAGTTCAAGTAAAAACAATAAACATCAATTGTTTAAGTAAGACATGATGAAAAATATTTGAGCCTGAATAAATTCATAAATGGAAAAAATTGCTTCACACCCTTTTTCCAATTTCGGATTTTAGAGTAAATTTGAATTGATATAGCCCAAATTTGACAAGAAAATTGTTCGAAATTCAGAATTTGGAAGTTCCGGAATTCATAGGTATTAGAAATTTTCGGACATTGAAAAATGTTCGGAGTATAGACATTTCCGGATGTGAGAGGTTCAGGAATTCAGATGTTTCACTGTATATAAATGACAGTGTATGTGAAGTTTAGTTTCGAATAGAAAGAGCTTCTCGTGGCATTTATGGCAATCTTTAAATAGTTTTATTACATAGCCGTTTATATTTGGAAAAAAATAGGGCAATATTATCAATGTTGGATGTTAATGGTGAAAGAATGACATCAATTAAAGCAATTTTTGTTGTTGTTGTTGTTGTTGTTGTTGAATCTATTATACAAACCTAGTTTATTGTTGTCCCAACTCTCACTCTCATAAAATTTTTCACATCTTTTATTCCTCATTGAATAAAAAGATATTTCAATTTTTAAAAATTCTTCCGACTCGGAGCCTTTTTATATGCCCGAAAGAATTTCGGACATATTATGTTAAACCCCCTGGCGTCCGTCCGTCTGTCGGTCCGTCCGTCTGTCCGTCCGTCTGTTAGGAATTTGGTTTCCGGAGCATAACTTCAGTTCCATTTGGCCTACAGTGTTCAAACTTCATAGAATGATTGTTCATATTGGGTAGAAGACCCCTATTGTTTTTGGGGTCACAAGGTTAAAGGTCAAGGTCTCTATTACCTTAGAACTGAAAACAGTTTCCAGAGCATAACTTTAGTTCCATTTGGCCCACAGTATTCAAACTTCATAGGATGATTGTTCATATTGGGAAAAGAACCCGTATTTATTTTGGGGTCACAAGGTCAAAGGTCAAGGCCACTATTGACTTAAAACTAAAAACGCTTTCTGGAATGTAACTTAAGTTCTATTCGGCCCACAGTGTTCAAACTTCATAGGATGATTGTCCATATTGGGTAGAAGACCCCTTTTGATTTTGGGGTCACAAGGTCAAACGTCAAGGTCACTATTACTTAGAAATTGAAAACAGTTTCTTGAGCATAACTTAAGTTCCATTTAGCCCACAGTGTTCAAACTGCATATAATGATTGTCCATATTGGGTAGAAGTCCCCTATTGATTTTGGGGTCACAATGTTAAGGTCACTGTTACCTTAGAATTGAAAACAGTTTTCGGAACATAACTTAAGAATCATTTGGCCTACTGTGTTTAAACTTCATAGTATGACTTTCCATATTGGATAGAAGACCCCTAATGATTTTGGGGTAACAAGGTCAAAGGTCTAGGTTACTATTACCTTAGAATTGAAAACAGTTTCTGGGGCATAACTTAAGTTCCATTTGGAGCACAATATTGAAGCTTCAAAGGAGGAATTGTTATTTGAAAGAGGTAATACTTTATTTTATTCCCATGTCTTACAAATGCTTCATCTTTACAAAAAAAATTTCACTTTCGGGCATATAATGCTCCGTCTAGCGGTGCTCTTGTTCATAGATCTTTGACTGTTTCTGATATTCTCGAAGACATTCTTCAGTCTTAATGCCTTAGTTCTGAAGTTTCGTAATAATCACAAATCCACTGCATAGGTCTGCGATTACAGTTCTAGCTACTTTTTTAGCAGACTGTCAGGAATTTCGATTCAATTGAGATAATGACTTTTTGATATCTAGTGACTCTCGTGAGTGAATTGAACTGGTCTGTCCGGGCAGTTTTAGGCATTCTCGCAGATTGTTTATGAATTCTGATTCATGTGAATGAATATCACTCTTTTCCATAGTGACTTAGGTCATCTGAATCATTTGTTAATTTTATCTAGTTTTTTTCTATAATGTATAATTCTGTATTCCATGACTTCTACAACCCGCCTTTATCGCCATTACCGCCTTTATCGCCATTACCGCCTTTATCGCCATTATTTGTCATTTCAAGCAAACTTTGACTTGGATGTGTTCATTTTAGGTTATATGAATGCTCTAATTAGATTGATAGATTTATTTCAGTATTACATTTAAGAGAAATGAAACCACAATAAATACATCATACTAAAGGTAAGACATACAAACGCAAAGTGAAAGAAAAAAGAAACATACATATCTTATTAAGGCGTTGATGGTATTGACATAGATGCATGAAATAAAATATATGAAAGTCCAAAATAGGTAGTTCCCGCTTTTTACACTACTTATCTTTCTTGCAAAAAATGACAGCCATATTGTTGTTCAATATTTTATATATTAATATAATTGACAAAATACATGTATGAAGAAAATCATTATAAACATCTGATTTAAGTAAATTGTCTAAATCTTTTAAAAATTCTACAAATGCATCAAAGTTTTATTATTTTTACAGCACTTAAAAGTTTTTTTTTATTAATTTTTATAAAGAAAATGGAATAATAAGAGATTTTATATTTGAAATGACGTCCAAAATGGCAAAAGGGGAGATTATAATGTGAAAAGCAACTATTAAGACAGAAAATAGTATAATAATTAAGTTATGACTAAGTGTTGTATCATATTTACTGGCTAAATTTTCATATCTTAAACAGAATCTGACTCATATTGCCATACAGCATGGACTATTTAAAATTGTTGAATTTTGTTCTTTATGGCATATTTCTCGTTTCAAAAGTCTATTAATTCCACAATCATAGATAAAAGTAATACTGTAATAACAAGTATATTGATAACTGTTTTATTTAATATTAGGCTTTACTTTTTGTGAGTGTGTTTTTAATCTTATGCTGAGCATATAATAAAGCAATTATTGAATAATGATCCATTGAATGTTATATAATATTCATCGGGAAAATGTCGTATTGACATTAACCGATGAATATCACATCATATTCAATGGCCCACTTGTCAATAGTTGTATAATAATGCAAGAAAAAAAATCTATTTCAATTGTATCTATCCTTTACTATCGCACGATTGTCATTTTTTCTTTGTTTCTTACTAACCAATATCTTCAGTACACTTCAATAAGGATTTGAAAACTGTATTGATATAATAGTGCTGTTTTTTCATTGATTCATAGTATAAGAAAAAACTGAAAGGAGAGGGCAAAGCACTGAATATTTTTGCTGATATGTGTTACAAATCATTTTGAAATTGCGATAAAACAGTAAATATATGTAAATAATAATGGTTAGATACAGGGGTATAACACTGGCTGGGCGACATCTTCTATAAAAATCCTCTGCGCCTAACGTGCTCGTCTTTTAATTTTAGAAACATCCATCGATATCGTCCCAGACAGTGATATATCCTCGTAACTTACTAGTTTTATATACATTCCCTAAAACTGTTTATTTTAAGTAACAAAACTCTTATGTTCAAAGTAGGTTTTGCTTCGAATGTTGATACTGCCTTTAACATTAGGTTCAGAATGTGAATAAGGAAACTTACCTTACCAAATTTGAGGTACAAATCGTTATACATACAACATTAACGCAATACATTTTGGGTGTATATGTCCATATTGAATGGGTTCGATCCGACATAATCGATTTTAGTTATATGACTATTTAATGCATTCATTTTAACATCATTTATAATGAATTAAAGTGAATTCTGTCCGATTGAAATAAGTGCACGACAATTCTGTGCGATACATCTTACATTGCCTAAAGACCATGTTAATATTTTCTATAGTTTTATATTTTTAACAAGACCATAAATTTATTTTCAATTAGATTTATTTAATATGTTCATTTGTTTACATGTTCTTTAAGTGTTTGATCGTCGTATAAGTCAAATAGAATTACTAGTATTTTCTTCAAAATTATCTTCTTACAGACGTGAAGAAGAAAGTCCTGACACTGAGAGGACTACCTAACCTTTAACATGCTGAAAATGTGTGAAATGGACGTTTCTAGCTTTCATTTTAGAGCTGTCCAGTATCAATATGAAAATATTAAGACATAACAAGTTAGTCAGCCGCACGGATGTTCAGCCTGGTTTGGTATACTAGTTAATTCATGTCGGATCCAGCAGGGTAAAGGAGCAGTGTTGTTAACTGTTGTCATATTTATAGAATTACTTTAGAGACTAGAAATCGAAGGATTACTGGCTGTGTAGGTTCAAGTCCCGTCAGCGGTAAGTGGTAGTTTCCTTAGGTAAGACATTTTATACTCATTGCTTAGTACCAAAACCGTATTGATACCGGCGTCATTGATAATAGTTTGCTGTAGTGACAACAGAAATATGAAATTTAATGGTTATAAATTGGTTCGTATATTTACAGTACGCAAA